TTTGCCACCCTGGGGTTACTAAGACCCTTAGTGTCATCAGATCCCTGTTCTGGTGGAAAGACTTGATTAAGAATGTCAAATAGTATGTTTCCTCTTGTTGTTCATACAACAAGGCCAAATCCTCCCGTCGTCCTCCTGCTGGTCCACTCCATCCTTTACCTATCCCATCTCGCCCATGGTCCCATATTTCTATGGATTTTGTCACAGGTCTTCCGCTCTCCTCAGGTCATACTGTTATTCTTACCATAGTAGACCGTTTTTCTAAGATGGTTCATCTCGTCCCTCTCGCAAAACTCCCTTCTGCTAAAGAACTCGGCATCATCATGGCTAAAGAGTTGTTCAGACTTCATGGCATACCTTCTGACATTGTTTCTGATCGAGGGCCTCAGTTTATCTCTAAGTTTTGGCAAGAGTTTTGCAGTCTGCTGGGCATATCTGTCAGTCTCTCCTCTGGTTTTCACCCTCAGTCTGATGGCCAAATGGAAAGGGTTAACCAGGAGGCAGAAGCTAAGCTGCGGCTACTGTGTGAAGGGGATCCTAGCAAATGGTCTACCAATCTCCCCTGGGAGGAACACACCATCAACTCCCTGCCCTCCTTAGCAACTGGTTTGGCCCCATTTTATGTGGTGTTTGGTTTCCAACCTCCTCTGTTCTCTGTCCAGGGAAGAGAGGCCCAGGTGCCATCAGCTCACCAAGCAGCCATGAGGTGCCAACGCACCTGGAGGAGAGCCAGGAGGGCCCTCCTCAAGTCCTCTGCTACCTATGTCAGGGGGGCCAACAAACGCCGGTCCACCCAGCCAACTTACCAAGTGGGCCACAAGGTTTGGCTCTCCACTAAGGACCTTCCCCTGTGGGTGGAATCTCGTAAATTGGCTCCCAGGTTCATCGGCCCATTCCCCATCACCAAGGTCATTAACCCAGTAGCTGTTCGCCTTCAGTTGCCCCGTTCCCTCAAGGTGCACCCTACTTTTCATGTATCCCATCTTAAACCTTTTTTGAAGTCCTGGTTCGGACCCTCCTCCGATCCCCCTCCTCCCGCCTGACTCATTGATGGTTCTCCAGCCTACACCGTCAGGAGACTCCTTTGCTCCAGATGGCGGGAACTGGGGCTTCACTATCTGGTCGACTGGGAGGGGTATAGGCCTGAAGAACGTTCTTGGGTCCCAGCCCGCCACATTTTAGACAAATCTCTGATCAGACAATTTCATAGGTCACATCCTGAGCAACCTCGTGGTCCGTCAGGAGCCAGACCTTAAAGAGGGGGTTCTGTCATGTTTTTGCCCCTTTTTTACTACCTCAGCCTGTCTAGTTTCATGTTTTTTTTGTCCTGTCAATCACTCAGTTCATGTGCCTGCACCATGCCTCCTCTCCCTGCCGTTGCAATCAGCTTCATTCATCGCACCTGTGCACCTCCCTACTTAAGCTCCCTGTTCACCCTCATTCAGTGCCAGATTCTCGAACCTCTCTGAGCATTAGAAATCCAGCACTTCTTGTCTTTGCGTCCAGCCTTGTTCTGAACCCAAGCCTGTTTTTCTGACTACCCGATCAGCCTGCTCCCTTTTGGATTTTGTCTGCTTCGGTCCTCATGGTTATTACTCTGCGCCTCCACACCGACCACGATTCAAGATCATGTTTTTGGATTTATTTGGCTCTCTGCCTCCCTGTGCTCAAACCCCTGCTACCCATCTTGGACCCTGGAACTGGATTTGCCCTTATTGGACCTGTACGCCTTCTGTTCGCTCCGCTGCTGCTGTTCACTCTGCATGAGTGACATCATCGGCTCCAGCGAGACTACAGCTCCTGTTATTCCATCAAGACAGGTTAGTAACATTCATTGTACCTCTCCTCGCCTCCCCATCCTCACCAGGTTCACTAACTCTTCTGTCTTGACAGATCGGGCCCGGACCCAGACCTGCACCAGAAGCTGTTTATTTCCTAATAAACTTTTTAAACAATTTCTGTGTTGGGTGTTGATGTGCTAATCCTAAATGGTTCTTGACACTACTACTGTCTTTACTTACTCTGCTCAACCTGTTTTGTATTTGTAATTATTTTTTCTATCCTTAACATTTTTTTTTTTTTGTCTTTCAGGTACACCTGGACCTACATCTGGACTTACCATTCTGTGTTCGTCTGTCTCTCCTTCCTGTCCTCTCAACCAGCAAGTCAAAGCAGATGGTCTCTTGTCCTGAGCCTGTTTCTGCTGGAGGTTTCATCCTTTTAAAGGGAGTTTTTCTTTCCACTGTTGCCACTGTGCTTGCTCAGGATGGGAGACTGCAACGAAGCCAAGATTCAACTTGTCTGCTGGATTCCTTAGATAGAGAACATTACTAATTGGCTTTTATGTGAATGTTCCTGTAAAGTGCCCTGAGACAACTTTGTTGTGATTTGGCGCTATAGAAATAAACTGAATGTAATTAATCCAACATTTTTCAGTCAGGTCATGTGGGCAGTTTCTTTTTTTTTGTGCTGAAACGTTTTGCCTTCAATTCGGAAGGCTTCATCAGTCAAGGAAACGCACAACAAAACTGATTCTGGACTTTATTGTTTTCAACCAGTTTGACAAGACTGTCAACAAGGAAGAGGGCCGACAATGGAGGAAGGGGCGTACCAAAGAGACCATCTAATCACAAGCAGAACTGGTTTGTACCACTTAGGAGTAAGCTGTTGGGGGAAGAATCAGTTGTGTGTTGTGCGTTTCCTTGACTGATGAAGCCTTCCGGATCGAAGGCGAAACGTTTCAGCACAAAAAAAGAAACTGTCCAGATGACCTGACTGAAAAATGTTGGATTTTATGCCTGGATTATTGAGCATAGACTTTGTTGAATTTAATTAAATTGAATGTATCAAATTGTGTTTAGTTCATTTTGACCATATCTGACCTAATCCCTGATTTGAGGCAATGGGATACATATGAAACACAGCTGCAGAAAGAAAAGCTTTGCAGAGAGTGGTGAAGGCTGCACAGAAGATGTTGGAGTCAGTCTCCCCACCATCACAGACATCTACACCTCCAGATGCAGGAAGAGGACCACCTGCATCATGAAGGACCACACTCACCCAGCACACACACTTTTTGCCACGCTCCCCTCAGGAAGGAGGTTGAGGAGCATTAAGTGTAGAACCACTAGACTGAGGAACAGCTTCTACCCTGAGGCTGTTAGACTCATGAATCTCTAACCAGGATAATCACTGTGAAAAAAATCATGTTGCTGCTGATCGGTTTCATGACGGTTTTATGCTATCAGTGCTTAGTGTATTTTTAGTTGATGTTTTTCTTAGTTCATATGTTGGATCTTATCGTTTTTCTTTTACATTTTATTGTCGGATGTAACTGGGACCCTGTGTACATAATTTTGTTCCACCACATGTACCACATGTGGTGGAACGACAATAAAGAATCTCTGACTCTGATATATTGTTCACTTCAACTATACTTTGATGATTTGAACCACTTTGGCTGCCTCACAGGAGTCGACTGTGGAAAGGGTGGGCTCCAGAACCTGTTGGTCCACTATGGGAATGTGCTGGTTGTGGGACTCGGGTTGATGTGGCTCCTCAGACTGATGGAAGTCCTTTGGATGATGGACGAAACAGTAAAAAAAGAAAAGAAAAAGAAACCGTCCAGATGACCTGACTGAACTTTGTTGGATTTTTTACCTGGATTATTAAGCATGAACTTTGAGGCTTTAACTATAGTTTAAACAATAAATTAGTCGGAGTGGTTTGCATATTTTTTCATCTTTATTTTACAATTAAAGGCTTTTTTTTCTCCAAACTTGAACAGTTGGACATTGCATCAAAAACGCACAGAAATTTGATTTCATATTGTTTTTCTGTACACTTTATGTACAAGAGAAATTCTCAAAAGACGATACAAAATAAAACTCAAAGTATAACAGACTTATCCAAAAAAGTTAAATCTGGTCCTCTGGACATTCAAAAAAACAAAAACAAAACAAAGCAA